ATGAGGCTTTCTGCTCCTGTAAAGAATTAACAGCCTCAGAAACCCTATGCAGGGTCACTATGAGTGGGAACTGAATCCATGGCACACCACCACCACCAGTAGCATATAGACAGATAGATAGATAGATAGATCGATAGATAGATAGATAGATAGATAGATAGATAGATAGATAGATAGATAGATAGATAGAGTCCTGGTGTGGCTCCCGGCTAAGCACTCGACCCCAAGGTTTGTTTGAACCTTGGTTCAAACTCACCAGCTGCTCCTTGGAAAGTCTATACAGGGTTGTTATGGGTTGGAACCAACTCAATGGCACTTAACAACAACATATAGAGAGAGCAGTTTTTTTATCAAGGAAATGGCTTACAATTGCAGAGTTCCAGGTCCCCAGCAGAGCAGAGAGAGAGAGAGAGCCTTTCTTGCAAGTCTGTTATATTGCGAGCAAGCCACACCCCCCAAGGAAACAGCCTTTAATTAATTGGCTGCTCATAGCCACTCATCATAGAGTTAACTATGCTTGTATAAGATTTTATCACCATGGGAATAAGTGCATCCTAACTGCTAAACCTCTGGAAACCCTGGCCTAGTCAAGTTGACACCAAACCCTAACTATTACAGTTGTATATAGGTCACACTATTAAAAAGGACTTCAGACCTGATCTTCTTAGTCCAGTCATGGCTGATGAACTGATATCAGAATGAATCTGAATTTGTAAACTGTGGGGTGAACTGGAATGACAACTGGAATGGGAAAAGTTCCAGGTCAGCAGCCTGATAGAAAACCCCCTCTTCGAAGGCGTGGGCAACATGCACATTGTATAGTAACCAAATCTCTTGGCTGGTAAAGTTAGTACCAACAGTGCTACTCTCAACGCTGCCCGCTGACCACACTGCTTTGAATGTGTGTTGCTCTCCACAGACAGTCCTGGTTGTAACCCAGGGTCATACATCAGGTGACTGAATTGGCTCATTCGTCTCCTATTCCAGGGTTTCGACCTGTAATTTCTCCGCTTCAGCCACATTTTGAAAGTTCATGTTTGTTCATCTTTCAGTTGGCTGAAATCGTTGGCCATAATTAAACCAGTTTGGACTGGTTCAAAGTCCTGCCATTAAGCACATTAAAAACCTCAAGACCTTATTTATAGAAGAGCAGTGACATCTAATTATTATTATTCTCATTTTTTATGTAAATATGAAGGAAGGGGAGGTAATTGATAAAAGATCAACAAGGAAAGCTTTAATAGAAAATGAGCATTATTAATCATAAATACTACTGATTAGTGAGCGCCTGATATGATGCTTAGTAGGAACTCAGTAAATATTTATTGGATTGGCAAATGAGCAGTCATCATAATGTAGTTAAATGCTGTTGAGTTGGTTCCAACTCATAGCAACTCTATAGGATTTCCAAGGAGCAGCTGGTGGGTTTGAACCATCAACCTTGCTGTTAACAGTCCAGTGCTTACCCTACAGTGCCACATCAGGGTTCCATCATCATAATGTTAATGTTGTTAAGTACCATAGAGTTGATTCTGACCCATAGTAACCCTGTATAGGGTTTCCGAGGAGCAGCTGGTGAGTTTGAACAGTTGACCTTGCAGTTCAGACGGCTTTGCAGTCTGACGCATTAACCCACAGCAACACCAAGGCTCCATCATCATCATAATGTTGTTGTTGTTGTAAGGTATCATCGAGCCGGTACCAACTCATAGCGACCTTATGCACAGCAGAATGAAATACTTCCTGATCTTGAGCCAACCTCACTACTGTTGCCATGCTTGAGCCCATTGATGCTGCCACTTTGCCAATCCATCTCACTGGGGAGTCTTCCTCTTTTTTCTCTGACCCTCCACCTTACCAAACATGATATCCTTCTCCAGCGACTGGTCCTTCCTGACAATATGTCCGAAGTATGAGAGACAAAGTTTGGCCATCCTGGCCTCCAAGGAGCACTATGGCTGTACTTCTTCCAACACAGATCTGTTTGTTCTTTTATCAGTCCATGGTTCTTTCAGTATTCTCCTCCAGCACCATAACTCTAATGCATCTATTCTGCGATGGTTTTCCTTATTCACTGTCCAACTTTCGCATACATTTGAGGTTATTGAAAATACCATGGACTGGGCCAGGCGCACCTTAGTCCTCAAACTGAAATCTTTGCTCTTCAACACTTTAAAGAGGCCTTGTGCAGCAGATTTGCCCAATGCAATATGTCTGATTTCTTGACTGCTGCTTCCATGAGTGTTGATAGTTGATCCAAGAAGAATGAAGTCCTTGACAACTTCTATCTTTTCACCATTGATAAGAATGCTGTTTATTGGTCCAGTGGTGAGGATTTTTGTGTTCTTTATATTGAGATGAAATCCATACTGAAGGCTGTGCTCTTTGATCTTCATCAGTAAATATTTGAAGTCTTCTTTACTTTCAGTAAGCAAGGTTGTATCTATCATCTGCATATCGCAGGTTGTTAATGAGTCTTCCTCCAATCCTGATGCACGTTTTTCTTCGTATAACCCAGCTTCTCAGATTATTTGCTCAGCATACAGGTTGAATAAGTATGGTGAAAGAATACAATCCTGTCGCACACCTTTCTTAATTTTAAACCATTCAGTGTTCCTGTCTTCTGTTCGTAGTGACTGTTTATTTGGTGTATACACGGTGCCAGGCATAGTGCTAGGGACTTTATATGAATTATTCCATTGAATCCTCCCAGTAGCTTGATAAGAGAGATACCATTATCTGTGATTTACAGATGAGAAGTCAAGGGTTCAGAGAGGATATCCATGGTTTAGGGATAGAGTCAAAACAGTTAACTACTAGGCCCGGGCCTAACTGCCAGGTCATCAGCCTCGAAAGCTCTGGCCCGGTCCCTGCTCAGTATTGCTATGACCCGTGATATGGTTCCTAAGACTCCTTGCCACTGCCTGCCTGTCCACCTCAGGCAGCAGCAGCCGCCATAGCTCACCCTCCTCATGCCCCCCGCAGTCTGCGCTCCTCGGACCAACAGCAGGTGAACAACAACCTGATGCAGACGGAAACGTGCCCACCCAGGCTGGAGGTCACCCAGCAGCAGCTGCAGCAGCAGCAGATGGTGATCTGTGAGGGCCAGGCCATCGACAACGAGCAGGATGGTGTCACCTACAACTACTCCTTCTTCCATTTCTGCCTGGTCCTGGCCTCCCTGCACATCATGATGACGCTCACCAACTGGTACAGGTATGTGCAGCTGGCTGTGCATGGGTGAGCCTGGGGTGCCTACACATTGCCTTTCCTTTGCCTGCCTCTGGGATTATCCTGATACCCAAGCAGGACTTGCTCTAAGACCCTCTATAAAACCTGCCCACCCCTGCCCCAGTTTCCCTGCCACTGCCTTATCTGCTCAGCTCCTGGCCCTACACTAAGTGATGGAAAGGTGGGGGGTCACAGGAAATGGCTGGGTCTGTGCCGGGCAGACAGGGTTTATGGGATCAAGGATGGTGTTTGGGGTTATGAAGTCACATTTAGATTGGGGTGGTCAGGATCAAAGCCACAGGATCAAAAATAGAAGTCCTGAGGTCCAGGCTTGGACTGGGATTGGGGTCACATAAAGTCATGAATTTAGTCAGCTGATTAAACTGGGGTTGTTGTTATGTGCCGTGGAGTCGATTCCGACTCATAGCGACACAGGGTTTCCTAGACTGTAAATCTTTACAGGAGCGGAAAGCCTCATCTTTCTCCCATGGAATAGCTGGTAGTTTCAAACTACTGACCTTGAGCTTAACAACCTGATTCATAACCACTACTCACCAGCTGCTCCTCAGAAACCCTATATAGGGTCACTATGGTTGGAACCGACTCGACAACAGTAAAACAACAACAACTCTACCAGAGCTCCTTAAACTAGGGTTCAGAAGCCATAAAGCCTGAACCCAAATCAAGGCGTGACAATCAAGATAACTAGAGTAGGACTTGGGTCACAGGACCAGGGGTCAGATTTAAGGTCAGGGGTATCAGAAATGGAGTTATAATATCAGGAGTCAGGACCGGGGTCACACAATTAGGGTCACAAGGTCAAAGGTTAGGGCTAAGGTCATTATGTCACAATCTAGGACTGGGCCAAGGTTGGAATTGAGGTCAGGAGTCACTTTTGTGTTACAGGGTCAAGAGCTATGCCCAGGGTCACAAGGCCAAGCAGCACGTTGAAGGACAAAAATGTCAGAGATGACCCCTAGTGACTCTGTAGGACAGATTAGAATGGACCATAGGGTTTCCTAAACTGTCATCTTCATGGGAACAGATCATCTGCCCTTTTGTCCTTCTGAGCTGCTGGATGGCTTCAAACTGCCACCATCCAGTTAGCAGCCACACGGAATCACTGTGTCACTGGGGTTACAAGGTCTGAGCCAGAATTGGAGTCAGGGTCACAACTGTGGTCATCAGGTCAGGGGCCAGGACTGAGGTCACAGACTAGGGCGGGGGCTCACAGGGATGATGCTGTGTGTTCCAGACCTGGTGAGACCCTGAAAATGATCAGCACGTGGATCTCGGTGTGGGTGAAGATCTGTGCCAGCTGGGCAGGGCTGCTCCTCTACCTGTGGACCCTGGTTGCCCCGCTCCTCCTGCCCAATCGAGACTTCAGCTGAACCAGCCCTCCTACCACCCACCACCTGGTGCCTGGAGGGGGGGGTCTCTAACAGCCAGCCCTCTCCTCCCCTCTTACCTCCACCTGCAGGACTTGCCTCTGAATTGGGCCCCTTCTGTTCTTAGTGCCTTCGCTGTGAGGGGAATCAGGCTTATGCCTAAGCCCACCCTCCTGCTACCCCCAGACCCATGGACCTGCCTCTTCCCCTTGTGCCCTGGCTGCCAATACTCACCCGTTTGGGGATAAAGGCCCTCCTTCTCAGACTCCCCAGGGGAGGGGGCTGAAGGAGAGGGCTGCTCAGAATGCAGGGAGCACTCACCATAGTGGGTGCCCACCCTGCAGCCCAGGGATTCCAGACCACGTCCTCTAGGGCACCCACCCCTCCTGGACTTTGTGCCTTATCAAGTCTCTAAGACTTTGCCCAATAAATGAGCCCATATGTGTGACTTCCCATGCTCTGTGCCCCTCACCCTCAGCGCAGGGCCTGTGGGATGTGCCCCCAATTCTGGGGTCAAGTCAGTGTGGGCTCTAGAGATGGATTGCCAGGGACCTCCAAGATGGGACACTGGGGAGCTTCTGGTCATGGAGTGGGGGCTGTAGAGGAGGGAGGGGCAGATTAAGGGCTCTGGAAAGATCCTTCTGGGGACCAAGGGAAGGGAGCCTGGAGAAGGGGGGGACCCATAGGAGGCTGGGGACTTGTCCACATGAGGGGTGGTGAGGTCAGGGTCAGGGTGGAGGGGAGGAGGGGATTCTGTCCCAAGCCCTGCCCACCTCTGCCCCACCTCTAGGGTCCTGTGGAGGAATTTACCACCATCCTCTCCTTCCTTTCCTCCCCGAGTACGAACTGGTACCTACTGTGGGCCAGGTGCCATGGGGGGTGGGGTGGGAAAGAAGGGGACAGAGAAGGATCCAGCCACTGGGGCCCAACGGTGCCAGGGGCAAGAGGGAACATTCTGGTTTCAGCCAAGCTGTTCTTGATTCTGGCTGTTACACGGTACTGTGGAGCCTCAATCACCAGACAGAGAAAACACCACCCCATGAAGGCTGTTGGGAGGGTCAGGTGATGTGGCATGCACAAATAAACTTCAGGTTCTGCCTTGAAAAGCTCAGTTGTGTTGGAAGGGAGAGGCTACTGGTCGGGACCCCAGACCTGGTTTGGACTCGATGGCACTGAACAACAACAGTATTGGCTTTGCAGTCTGGTGCATTAACCAGGGGCTGGTAAATCTAAAATCTGCAGGTTAGGTATCAGGCCTCAATTGATGGGCATCTGGGTTATCTATCTCAAGGAGCTCTAGTAGCGTAGTGGTTACGAATCGGGCTGCGAACCGCAAGGTCAGCAGTTCGAAACTACCAGCTGTTCCGCGGGAGAAAGATGAGGCTTTCTGCTCCTGTAAAGATTTACAGCCTCGGAAACCCTGTACAGGGTCGCTATGAGTCGGAACCGACTCCACGGCACACAACAACAACAACAAGGTTATCTTCAGTGTTTTTCCATTTTTCTCTGCCATCAGCCATTGTGTTTATCCTGATTTCTTGCTGGATTTCAGAAAAATAAACACAAACCTGGATTCCAGAGCTAGATAGTCTAGGTTCTTATCTAAGCCTTGTCACCTAGCTGCTGTAACTTCTTTGTGACTCAGTTTTCTGGTCTGTAGTATGGGGACCATAGTAACACCCATCCACTGGCTGACTCCAGGGTCAGCCAGAACATGTTTGTCAAGGACCTTGAACTGTACTGGGCACAGAGTGGGGGTAGGGAACAAAGCAAATGTAGTTGTCAGTACTCAGGAACTGAGGCAGAAGTCTAGGCCAGTGGCCATTCCTCTACCTCTAGGGACACCTGTTCTTTGCCTGTTTGGAGGTGAGTGTGAAGGAAAGGGGGCAGGAAGTAGGGAGAAAAATGGTATCAGGAGCCAAGGTTTATCGAACAGACCCTGTGTGTCCAGGGTCCTGCTTGTCTACAACACCCCCTGGGGCCAGCCAATCTGCTAATCTAGAGAAAAAAAAATCTATAAAGCTGAAGAGAGAGCTGCCCGCCCTCAGTCCTTCCAGACCCTAAATGTCCCTGCCTCAGTCAAAAGCAGCCACTCCACAGTGAACACTCTTTTTTTTTTTTTTCTTTTTAAGTTTTATTGTGAATTATGTGACAGTTTACATGGGAGAACATCAGTTTTCCATTCATCCTATTGTATATTGTTTCATTGCCATGATTACAATCCCCTCCATGCATCATCAAACAATGAAAGGGTACATCCGATAAGCCTGCTCCCCTCCCGCCCCCCAGTCATCAGCACACAGCCCCTCTCCCTCACTGGGTCCTGAGTCCCCAGCTGCTCCATCTCTTCAGTCATCATCCCGGGGATCGCTGCTTCTCTGGGTAGGGTGCTGCTCTCTGCTCTTCTCCCTTCATGGTTCCAGGGTCCTCTGCTCCTAAACTGCAAAGTTAATCACGCCCCTCCTTGCCACAAAATGTCTGCTTTCACAGCATTCTCTCTTGATAAAGCTCGTCCAGTTCATCCCTGACTCATGGTGACAGGGGGAACAAGAGAGCAAAGTGCTGAGTTTGAGTGCACTGGACGTTTTTCTGCATGACTTTTAACAATGTTTGCAATGATCTGTGCATTGTCTGATTCCCCCTAACGTCAATGAGGGGGTGAACTATCCTTGTTTATGGTTGTTGTCCCCAACAATGCCTGATGAAGGGAAGGTACCTACTGAGAGTTGGGTGAGTTGATTGACTGACCACCTGAAAGGTTATTTACTAATTATGGAACTGTTGGGGATGATAAGGGATTTGATATAGGGGAGGCTAGAATTTATAGTGGGGCATGAAGAGATTTATAGTGGGGTAGGAGGAGAGGTCTCCTGGCTGGGTTGAGGCCTGAGTTCTGTTACCGAGGTGCTCAGAGCTAGAGGACAAGTCCCCAAGGCATGACTCTGAAGCTCTGACGTGGAGACCTGCAAAGTAGGTGAGAGCCAGGCTTGGAGGAGAGTGTGGGAAGGGTGGTCCAGGTGGGTAGTGCATGGGCAGAGGCTTTGCTATGAGAGAGCCTGGGTCTGGAGGTCAAGATGAGGGGAAGTGGGAGAGGTAGGAGGGTCAGGCTAGATAGTTAGCCTGATGGCTAGAGGTCGCAGACCAGAGACCCAAAGGCGTGTTTGGATTGGCCCTCTGTGTGATTGAAATAAGAACCTCAACAAAGATGGTAGTAACTCTGTTGGTGCAGTGTTTAAGTGATTGGCTGCTAACTGCAATGTTAGTGGTTCAACCCACCAGCTGTTTCGTGTGAAAAAGATGAGGCAGTCTGCTTCCATAAAGACTCACGGCCTTGGAAATGTTGTGGGACAGTTCTATTCTGCTCTGGAGGGTTGCTAGGAGCCAGGATTGATGTGACAGCAATGAGGGTTACATCAATGTTTATGTCATGTCAGCACATTCTTCACCAACCCTAGATACCACTGTTCATCCTTAGTGTTCACTCACCACCTCATCATTTAAGTGACCTTCTTGGGCCTTGCAAACATGTGACTTTGCAACCCTAACGCAGAGCTGAGTTGGCCTTGGGCAGATTGTTGGGTGTGATGGAGATGGGAGTGCTACGGGAACAGTCACTGGGAAGATCTGAGACATGCTTACTGTCCCCTGAAAACCCCCGGGGCTATGAACTGGGTCTGCCTCAGCCTTCTCTTGTTCTACTCCCTGAGAGGTCCCAGGGTGGTAGAGGTCCCAGGCACCCTAAATTGTGGGAGAGAGAGGCCATTGGAAGGGGCAGTGTCATATGGTGGTTAAATAGCTTGGAGGCCCGTTTTCATCATTGTCACTCCACTTACCTTGACTATAAAAGGGGATAAAGGGTCCTTACCTTATAGTTGTTGAGGGGATTTAGTGACACATCTGTAAAGTGCTTGGTGTCCAGTTTGGATTGCACTATTTTGTAACTCTTAGTCATAAATCATTTTGGACAACCCACTCATTTACTCATTCAACATGGTCTGAAAAGGTGTCATGAGGTTTCTGGAGAAGGTCCCTGGTATCTACCCACCCTTGCAGGTTCAGCTGTCTGGGACTAGCAGGTTGAGGATTTGAGGTAAACAGAGCTAACATTCATTGAGGGCTTATGTGCCCGGCCTTGAGCTCAACCTTTCCCAGGCATTATCACACCTAACCCTTCTTCAAGCTCTATGAGATAGACACATTCATGGCCCTATTTTATGTAGGAAAGGAGTCCTGATGGGATATTGGGTTATGCATTGGGCTACTAAAAACAAATCAACAGTTTGAATCCACCAGCAACTCTTCTGGATGAACAGGCTCCGAAACCTTAGATAGGATGAGTTGATTCCATGGCAGTGAGTATCTAGCTGGGTGGGTATTTTAGAAAGTCACGGCAAGGAGAAATTGATAACTCACCCAAGGCCCATAATGAATTAAGATGCTTGTAACTCACCCAAGGTATATAGCTAGTTGTGAATGGAAGATATGACACTTATCGATTGAATTGTGTCCCCAAAATATGTTGAAATCCTGATGCTGTATTTATAAATATAACTCTGTTTGGAAATAGGGTTTTTCTTTTATTGTGTTAATAAGGGCTCACCAGAGTCCTGTGGTCCTAAACCTAATCACTGCTGAGTTACTAGACACAGAGAGAAGACAGACATCCAGGGATGCTGAGGGACATCAAAGACCTTATTAGCTACTGAAAAGGAATGACCTGGCTTTACAGCCACCCCCTGAATTCATACTTCTAGCTTTCCAAACTCTGAGAAAATAAAGTTCTGTTCCTCAAAGCCACTCTCGTGTGATACTTTTGTTATGGCAGCACTAGGTGACTAAGACAGGTATAGTCTAGGATCTGGATGCAGCTCTGTGTGTGACATCTAACTTTACATACTTTACTCTGCTACTGTGGACTGTTGAGTCTGTTCTGAATCATAGTGATCCTGTAGAGAGGTCCTGAGGCTATAAATCTTTAAGGGAGCAGAGAGCCCTATCTTCTT